TATAGTAGTGTGTGTGTGTGTGTGTGTGTGTGTGTGTGTGAGTCTAATGTATACTTATACATACATAACAGGGGTATCGATGTACGAGAAACATACCTAGGATTTTTTCTACAACTGAAGAAGTACACAAGAACTCACACCATCTGTCTATTGTCTAAACGTATTGTTGTCAATTGCTCTTCATATGCAGCTTCCAAAGGCGGCATAAACCTAGTTTACAAACGTCCAGTCATGACGATATCCTTCAGTCCACAGACTGTAGTCAGCCGCTACCAGAGACTGAAGTCGTTGAAGAAACCTCTTTGACCGTACAGGCACTAGCTTCACCGTCTGTGGTCCGGAAATCATCCATGTATGTATTCTTACTGTTTATCCAGGTACATGCTGAACGTAGGTACATTCCCATTTGAGTAAATATTTACCTGTGAGGGAACGTACTCGTGTATGTTCATATTCATTTACACATATGCTGCCGTGTGAATGGAAGTCGTTTATGCAAGTGTTTATTCGTATACAAATACATATTTCGTGTACCGATACGTTGCCAGATAAATAAATATCCTCTACATATATATTTAGCCCACAATCCTGTGTGCGGGAGCCATCCATTCAAGCATTTATTCTTTGTGAGTACATTCCCTATGCAGTCAATACACGGGTGAGTGTAGTCTACCTCGTGTCCATATGCCCATGCGCATATACCCTGCTATGCCCAAACATAGATTGCAGTTTACTAACAATCGGCTCGGTACAATGCACCCATAATCCTTCTCTACCCAGCCTGAATGTATCCGACAGTATACCTTCCTGCTCATACTCCAGCACTTACATTTGTCAAAGTGTATAATTCTCGCCCATTCTCCCATACGGGATATACACTTCGAACGCATTCAACTCCCACAAATACGCATACAACTCCCACTATACAAGCGCTTACCCAGTCTCGGCTCAATTCATGCAATGCAGTCTGCAGTACAAAATGTTCCATCGCTTGAGTCGAAAAGCCACCAAGGAAAACTTTGGCTCCGACACTAGGTCCAGTCCAGAGGTGTCTCAGATAAATGCCACCCCGAGCCCTGCGTCCACAGCCTCGATGTAAGTGTCTCTCACACAAAGTATGCAGTTGCAACGTGTCGTTCTTGCTCAACAGGCGATATGTGTGGTAAATACAGAGCATATGTGTGGCATTTTTAAAAATATATCTGTGGTATTTACAAAAGATATTTACAAACGATATCCGTGTCATTTCAGGTCGATGGGGGATGACGGCCAATATCCCGACCTCGACCTCAAGGCGCGTGTGCAGACGCTCAACGCAGGAATGTTCCGAACTTCCACGACGTCCAACAAGTCCGCCAATAAGATCCTCGAAGAGATAAAGAAAGCATGTTCTGCGAATAAGATCAAGTGGGTGCAGGAGGGCATGCTGGTGGTGTGTGTACTGAACTTGGATAGTAATAAGAAGGTTAGCAAACTCTTCAAGAAGCTTTTAGAGGAGAATGGCATGAACCGTGAGGCGACCATCCGGTGGGAGATGGAGGTAAGGATTATAAATAAGTGATTATTTACCTATAGTGCTCGCTCAAAGACGTTTGTTCGTGTGTGTCTCCCGCCCATCGCTTTCGTCAGAGTGTATTATCACAATACAAATTCAGTTATTTATAACAAACTCGGTTTTGTTTTGTATCTCGATAGTTCGGCCCACGTTACAGACCCCCCCACCCACTTCATATTCCTTCACTCCGTCCCTCTCAGGTGGTGAAGATAGAACGGCTTAAACACTTGCACGGAATCAAACTTAAGCGAACGGGAGGCGACATATGGCTATACAAACAAGTGTGCGAGCGTCTCATCAATCAAATGAGACTCTAACGCCGGATCGATCTGGTACCACATATGCCGTCACTCTTGCAAGCGATAAATAGACATAGTTGCCAATAAAACAGGACACCATCACCAATTCCAGTGCGGTAAGAAATACATTCAGTTGCAAGTATTCGGGTGGGTCTGTGGTCTCGCATATTTCCAATACAATTCTACTTCATGATAGTGACTGAACCGGTACGCATGAGCACCCAGCTCTGCATAGGACATACATGTATATATATAAATAAAGGAAGGCACCAACTTTTTCAAAACGTAAACTTGTCTTTCAATTGTTTGCTAGGTCTTTCCTGGTCATGGCAAAGAAACTATTTTTGGTTAGTTGAAATAAACAGATCAAAAGTAGGTCTCTACATGAGAACAATAAAGGCTACTGCGAGCGGAATCTATTACCCTGCTCGAGTCGTGACATAGTAAATATATAGGGATAGGTAGGAATGCATAAAATAATGGAAATAAATTCATCTCATCTTCACTTTTCCAGTATTTTTATTGGCCTGCGTAACGACGTATATGAGACGAACAGAAGAAAATAATGGGTAAGAATAGCGGAAAGTGTGAGGTGAAGAGGTGACTGAAGAAAAAGTCTATTTTCTTATATTATACGGAGACAGTCACAATATATGAAGAAATACGAGGGGCCGCCGATGGATAATTAGAGGGCAGCCCCTGAAGATCACAATGTGTGATCTATGAACTTCCCCTTAATTCCCGAAGCCAGTTCCAAAGTATCACAATATAGAGAACGAAATTCTATGAATTTTGCGTCTGAGTGCCGCCGCAACCGCTAGGTCCCCATGAAGCAGCTAGACGCTAGACGAAGGGAATATAACCCTGCTGTATCCCCGAACAGACTCAATAAATATACCAAGGATGATGCCGGTACAATCGTTTGCGACTTCTACAGTTTGAGCACTGGCCACAAAACCTCGACAGAATGCATGTGGGCCAATACGGACACGATCAACCAGCGTTAGAGAAACACGCGTCACGACGAAGTTTGCAGAGAGTTGTCGCCAGAGCATATTAATTGAGAGTTTGTGATCAAATATGTCCGTATTGGCGGCTAGTAGATCGCCTAAAAATACAACAACAACAAAAATATCGCCCCTGGTCCACTGGATGCTGGTGAGCATCTGCGGCAGGCAATCGATGTCCTCGCTTACGATCCAGAGGCGTGTGTTGACCAGGTTGGACTCCAAAAAACGACGCATCAAAAACGAGAAAGGAAAAAAAGGTCTTTTTCGGAATCGGAGCGCCTATATTGTGACCGAAGTACAGTACTAGCGCGCCACAGTGAATCTCGACGTCATGTTGTTGAAGCACCACAAATATCCAGTCAGCGTAAATCACTAGCTTATGATTCGTATCTTCCTCAGGATACATGCATCGTCGTCAGAAAGACCTCATAGCCAGGCATAATTTCCCACCTCTTGTGGGCAGAGCTAAAGGTAGATAGTCGATCCGGATGAACACTTACTTTGAGTAGTCTCCAAAACTTGACTATGAGGTACTCGTTGTCCACCGGCCGAAAAGGGTTGAATCCTGATACTCTGGCTCAGGATTGATAGGTTGCGAGCACACCGTCGTATGTATTTACAGTACCGTCGACAGTACCGCCCGCCCCAATTCGATCTGTATCCAAAGTACGGGGTTGGTAATACCGCTGGTGGCTGAAGATTGAAGAAGGCGGTTACGAATCTCAATGAGGGAATCGGTCGTCCCAATTGCTGACCAATATGTTTGGGATAGTGTACTACACCTTATTTAGGAGCTGGCCGTGCGTCCGGTGTGTCAGATGATGCGGTCATCGCGGAGCCTTGGGCCAATTGGGGGCTATCAGGACTGTCGATATATTTTTTTGTTTAGAGCTGGCAGAGTACCTACCCTATCTTTGATTCCGTCGGCCCGTAGCCAGCAAGTAGCAAACCCTGTATATAACCGATCATCCACCAATCAATATTTGACAGCCTTACACATCTTCCTTCTCGCTGAGAAAGTACAGGGGGCTCACATAGCTGATGGGTTTGCCCTCCCTGGGAAAAATGAATTCATTTTTCCACATAGCTGATGGGTTTGCCCTCCCTGGGAAAAATGAATTCATTTTTCCAGTCTTGAAGGCGGAGACTTCCCAGTCAGCTGGAAGCTGTACAACCTCTAGCTTAACTCGCCCTGGGAACTGATTGTGTGGGTCCTTGCTAAAGTCATTGCAACAGATGTTGAAGTCGAAGTAATTCTGCTCTGCCCATACATACCGTCCATGTTTTCAACTGTGGTGCCTTTGCTAGTCCGTGAGCCAGTTGTTGTCCCTCCAGTACCAGGCGCTTTCCTGCGTTATGGTCATGAACCAATATCCGTCGTATTTGCGGCTACAGGGACAACTATTTTGGCCCAGTATCTATAGATTAGCGCCAATCCCAGTAGGAAAGTTTCTTCCTACGTGACTTCGTCACATTCAATGCTGAATTGAGATGGTTTAGCACCAGCCAAACCCTGCCACGTACATGCTGGTGGTTGCAGGAAAAACTGTAGAATGTTCGGTTTCAAATCAGGCGCTAAATTATACCTATCACCGCCTCTTTTGATCAAAGCACTGCTGTGGTGATGAAAGATCCTTATGAGTTGTTGCTTTTCCATTATTCACTTTTTACCCAGATTACGATCGGTGGACACAAGTGACTGTGGCGCGGGACTATCAGATCAGCTATCTTCAACTTCCTGCACACGGCGTACACATTCTTTGACATCCCTGAGCCTCGTAGAGCCTTTCTCCACGCAGCCTGGTATAATACGTCGCACAAAGTCTGTGGACCCCGAATAAGCAACATAGCTCAAAGTCTAGCGTTTGCTTCATCTCCTGAGTTCAGTGTGCCAAAAAAGCCTTTGAATATACATCAGCTTAGGTCGGCCTAGGCCTTGCACCACCCCCCTTTGTGAGAGCAGGTCCCACATATCCCTAACCCTCCAGTTAACCATCCAAGCAGGTCTCACATATTCCTAACCCTCCAGTCAACCATCCAAAACCTCTCACAGTCATAGTCTCTGCCAAAGTTATAAAAATTTCCAGATAGTCACAACAACCACACTCCCGTACGAGACGGAGTTAATGGCGACTTCTTCGTAAAAAAAACCGGTACTTTGATCCCGGTCTACGACGTGACAAGAATGATGTGTGACCAGCCCTGGGGGCTAGTGTCGAACAACAGCACACCAAGTCAGTAGATAACAGTGAAAAATGAGAAGCATGGATGCAAACTCATAATAGTTTAATAGTAGCAAGCCAAAAGTTATAAAGTAGAAGATCCTGACCTGAATTTTCATAATAAGTACTGTTCCAGAAAATGTTATCAGCACCTTTGCCTGATAGACAATTTGGTGACAAGAGTCACCACAAAGTAAACTACTCTTCAAACAGATGCAGTAATTGCTACCAGTCTCGCTGGGGTATACGGATAAAATTCTACACTCTAGGAATCAAGCGTTCTTAAATGAAAACACTCGTTTATAACACGTGGTAAACGTAATCAAAGCGGGCAAAGTAATAGATCAAGTATTCGAGAAAACTATTCGAGAAAACTAGTATATACGCAGAACAAGATATTCAGAAAAACTACATGAACGAGCTATGCAAACGAGTATAAGAATTAGAATGGCCGTTTAGAAAAAGGCGAGAGAAAGGGGCGTGAAAAAGCAGGACTTTCGCTGCTTGAAGGTAGCAATTCGGTTGTAGAGGCTGGTGTATTCTCTATTTTACATGTCGATTCGTTTCAGTCAGGCCTTACTTACAATATAAAACTTCAGTACATAGGTCGAAGAAGGGGTATTCCTTCTGTGAGAGTGAAATGCTTAATCTCAGGGGAAGAATCTATGAAAATGGTATGTACAGGCGTGTCCAGTACGCGTGTAAACTTTCGCAGACAGTGGTTTAGAAAGGTTCGTCTAAATTTGGACACAATTATCATTATTGCTAATGGATATCACCGGCGTACAATATCTATTGGTTTGTCATCAAACCCTAACCAGTAAACAGCCTACGCCTCAGCTAGTAGCGCGCCGAACCTTGCAGTCATCCCACCACAATCACCTGATGAAAACTTTACTATAAATTTTGCACCTATTAGCGAAAGTGGCAATGAGTGATGATAATCGATGGTCGGTGTACATCCTGTTCTTCCCTTGATTCTCGTTTTAAAATCTTTGCAAAATGTACCCCGCGATTTTGTCCAAACTTTAATATCGACGTACTTCGTACACTACAACAGACTTAAGAACGCGAAGGCAAAAGGCGAAGGTAATTGCCCACGCCTGAGCATTGAATGACGTTGCAGAGGTGGATCGCCAAATCGAAACAAGAATGCGGTGATCCGCATCTCATATAGTCAGCGTCCTTAAACACTACGCTGTACTCAAGTACCCCTTTCCAATTCTCTGAGCAAATCTAGAGTTCACTATGTACTCCGACATTGCTTTAATGACTATCATAGCAGTACAACTTGATTGCATTCGTAGCGTGAGACGATTTGAATTGCAGATGGTAGCAATCTGGCAAAATACACAACATTCGAAATCCCTAAATAGCAGTTTTTGAAGCAATTATGTTCTCTCTAAACACAAACGGTAACTGTAAGTGCATGCGGCGCAGAATCATGTGTACAAAGTTAATGTGTGTGTAGAACATACACGACCAAATGTCTGTGCGGCACGCGTGCTATGAGTGTGTAGTATTTGTGTGCCTATAATGCTTGTGTACATGTGTGTAATACACACGCAGTATAGTTGTGAGAGGAAGGAGATACTCGACTGGCTACACCCTCTCAATGTCAGAAAAGAACCCCCTCTCATGTGGGTCGGGAAACACGCACCGCTTGCCACTACGTATACAGCAATGTCGTTAACTTCCCTCCATAGTGAGAAGTAGGTCACATCGCACCCAGAAGTACTCAGTCCACCTTGTATTCCACTGCCACGGTGTATCATGAGCGCCTCATCTGAGCGCCCGTTTCATCTCCCTTATAATCCTTGAGAAGAGTGGGATAAGACATGAACCAGCGAACACTTCCCAAGGAAATTCTTCCCCCCAAATCGGTCCTACAGTGCATATTAATATTCAAGCTTGGTCTCCACGTGCTCGTTGTCAAGCACATAACCATCTTTGCCATGTCACTTTGCAGGTCTCATGTGGGGGTTCGCAGACGAACCTTCACGTTTATCTGTACCCGGATGTATATTAATATTGAACCGGGATTCTCATAGTCACCTCGCACTGACAATTACTTTACCTGCGGCGTTCACACCAGCTTATAGTTTATGCCCGTTACTTGATGCCGGCCCTTCTGATTGTACACCAGCAAGGTGACATCTACCTATGCAGTCACATCTGAGCTATTGGAATCGTCTATATCTGCGCCCAAACCTGAGCCAACAGGACCATTTGTATCGGCAGTTACACTCTAGCTGATTCATTCAATTGTCTGTGCTTTCGAATCAACTTATAGACTGGCGCTTGCACCTGAGAATGTGCACATCCAACTGAAACTGTCGTTTTGCAATGTACCTACATCGACACCTGTGTAGATGGGACTTGATGGGCGTGTACTTGAGCTAATTAGAGCTGTTTATATCCGCATCTGTATCTACTTGTATACACGCAGTGGTGTCTACAACTGGATCTGCATCTGCAGGTGAACCGGGGATAGTATCTGAATTTATCTTTCCACTTAAATCCGCTCCGGGAGGACAGTTTGCATCTGTATCGACTGTCCCTTCCCTGAGGCGCGAGCAGGGAGGCGTCAACTCTCGCGTGTGTATACTCTTCTGTGGACACATATCTGCATTCTGGTCAGTCTCCTGTACATCCACAGAAAGTTCCCCAAGTGTCGCATCTTCACTCTGCAGACCTTCAACCGTCCCATGGAGCCCCTGGTCACGTACAGTACTTTCCTTAATAACTTCACCGTGCACACTATCACTTGGCCCGGCTAGCACCCCTTTAGCGCTATCCTCCCCGTGTATGACAGCGTCTGGTGTCACCGAAAACGACACACGCGGTGGCTCTGAAGGTGTTCTGCGATGGTGCGTACCACCTTCAAAAACATTATCAACATCCCCAGTCTTATCCTCATCTCCACCAGCACTTCCCTTACTCACTACCATAGCTGTACCACTGGTACTGAATCCAGTGGTATACTCAGGCCCATGCTTTGACGGGGACGTAGGCGCAGTAGAACTCTCCCTACTTGGCGTAGCATTGTTCTGCCCAATGTTACTGCTTAAATTGTCAGCAACTATACTCTCCCGTGTGCGGTGGTGTGTACTCTCGGTGACATCCTCTCCCTCATCCAATCCCGAGTAGCTATGAGAAATGGGTGTGTTCGCGCGTGGGTGTCTATTCTGCAGAGATCCTAACTCAGGATCACTTGTGTAGGTCTTGGCGCAGTCTACGAAAAATTTACCATATGCACAGTAAAGATCCACAAGTTGATGTTCCATCTGCGCATCGTGTGAAGAGAGAATGGAGGTACACGGTAACATGGATATATGTATCTACCCATCAAAAACCAGCCACGTAATGTGACCAGTATGCTTTTCTACAATATTCCGTCATATCCTGAGCAACCATAACTGTATCATCCACTATCATATATATATTTATATAAATATATATATATATCTATATATATATATATGTACATACATATTCATATATA